CATCTATTGTCCAGAGGTCTGAAACACTAGAAAAATTACACAGGAAAAGTGTTGGACTTTTTGTATGTTTATGGACTTTTTGTATATTCCTCTTGTATCTCAATTCGTTGGCGTCTGCATTTTCCTATGATGGATTGTATGGTGATTTACTTCGGACAATAGATGCATTTCACTTTAAATGACGTCTCCTTTGTTAATATTCTGTGGGAAATTCAGATCACAGTTGTTTGTTGTGGTTTTGTTATTCTCTGCTTCCTCCCGGTAGATGGGTGACTAGCCCTGGTTTGTCGGGGTGGGGAGTTGTGTGTGTGTGTTTCACCTCTCCCTGTAGCAGGGCGGCCCCTGCCTAACACTCCTCTTTTTCTGCAACTCAAGGAAGTTAGAAAGTGTTTATTTTGTGAAGTGGAAACTGCAAGATTCCACAGCTGGATGCCGTACTCGAAGTATGCTCTCTAGAGAGAGCCCTGCCTTTGAAAGTATACGCTTCTAATTTTTCCATTTTAGATACCTTTGCTGCTGTAGCATTTCTCTTATCTGCTATGGAACTGGTGCAGATGACTCCTGCGCTTTGACCTTCTGGATGGAGTCTGACCACAGCCCAAACCTTTTAGGCAGTGTTATACTGTTTTCGAAGGTTGGGGTGAGGCACATGGCAAGGCATAAGAGCATACAATAGAAATGCTGATTGAGTTGCTGAAAACAACTGTTTGAGCCAGAGATGATGTGAACTCGGGTTTTGAATAACAGCTCAGGAGTTGTTCCTGGCTGACTTGAAAGTAAGGGTGTGCCAGGGACAGGACTGAACATTGGCTATATCACAGTGTGGGTTGGCTGAGCTCTGGTCACACCCCGACAGAAGGAATCCAGATGATACAGCAGTTCCCTCAATGGTTTGATTGTGAGTCTTGAGGGGGATGCACTGGATCCAAAGAATTGCCTTGCTGGATTAAACAAAGACCAACCTAATTTAGCATTCTGTCTATAACAGCGGCCAGGTGCTTTTGGGGAACTTGCAGCCAGGCTAAGAACAGCAGCTTCTTGTTTCCAATATGTGGCAGAGGTTTCATGGAGCTATCGTGGTCAGGTAACTTTGAGGAGGATGTCATAATCTGTAGATGACTGTTTGGAGGTGGGATTCAAGCCTACATCCATCAGCTCCAGAGGCTGCACTCTGACACCAAACTGGGAGAAGCAGTGAACACCCTGGAAGATATAGAATTCAGTGGGATTGGAACACATTGGAAAAGTGGGTTAGATGTGAATAAGATGCAGTTCAACAAGGATAAGTGCAGAGTTCTGTATCTGGGTAACAAAACTGGCAAGCATCCATACTGGATGGGGGACACACTTCTGGGTAACAATGTGTGTGGACAAGATCTTGGGGTATGGGTGGGCTGTACACTAAATATGAGCTGTGTGATGCAGCATCAAAAAAGGCTAATGCAGTCCTGGGGGTGTATCATCAGAGGCATAACTTACAAATCATAAGATGTCATAGTCTCGCTGTACACTGCATTGGTCAGGCTGAACCTAAAGTACTGTGTGTGGTTCTGGAGGCCTCACTTCAGAAAGGAGGTGGGACAGGTGCAGCAGAGAGCAACTAAGATGATCGGGGGCCTGGAGACCAAGCCCTACAAGGAGAGGCTGAGGGAACTTGGGAATGTTCAGTCTGGAGAAGAGGAGGTTTGGGGGGGGGGGACATGATGACTCTTAAGCTTTTGAGAGGCTGACCCTTAGAGGAGGCCAGGACGTTGTTTCTGTTGGCAACAGAGAATGAGACTTATAATAACGGGTTTTAATTAGGAAGAGAAAGATACAGGCTGGATATTAGGATTTTTTTTCCCAGTAAGAGTACTTCAGCAGTGGAATCAGCTGCCTAGGGAGGTGGTAAGCTCTCCCTCCCTGGCAGTCTTCAAGCGAACACTTCCCAGGGATGCTCTAGGCTGCTCCTGCATTTGGCAGGAGGTTAGACTAGACGTCCTGTATAGCCCCTTTCAACTCTTTGATTCTATTCTAATTCTACTCCTGAGCATGGTACCAGGTCGGCTACCATTCTCCTGCATTACGCTTCAGCTGCTATTTGGGTAGCTAGTCCATCCTGCTCAGTGCTATCTTTTCAGTTCAGTAGTTTTGATCCAATCGGTTTCAAAGGAATAATGTGGTTTTGCAAATGGATTATGCAAAGATGTAATAAATTCATTGCGAAGGGAGCCTTTACAGGCAACAGGCCACCATATTCACCATATCCATGTAAACCCTAGTTGTTGATGTATTAATTTTGTCTAATACGGCCAGTTTTAAAATCTCTGTCTCCTCCTCTGCTGGTATTGCTTCTGTTAGATTATGTTTGGATTTTTTTCTTAAAATGTGGTTGTGCTTATCTTGCATCATATATCTAATTCTGAATCAGGCTATGGAGTGTGTAGTAATAGATCTGCAAAATAGAGATAGGGGGGATTTCTCTAGAAATCCGAAGCAAGTCCAAGTTTGCAGAAAAATCTGAACATTTAAAAAGGGGGTGAGGGTTAAAACTTAACCAAATAATAGAACCAATTCCTGCGGCTTTAAGAAAAGAATGACCACTGACCTTTCAGTTAAGAACATAAGAGAAGCTGTGTTGGTCAGGCCAATGGCCCATCTAGTCCAACACTCTGTGTCACACAGTGGCCAAACCCCATGTGCCATCAGGAGGGCCACCAGCAGGGTCAGAACTCCAGAAGCCCTCCACCTATTGCCCCCCCCAGCACCAGGAATACAGAGCATCGCTGCCCCAGACACAGTGTTCTGTCTATACCTTGTGGCTAATAGCCACTGATGGACCTCTGCTCCATATGTTTATCCAGTTTCCTCTTGAAGCTGTTTATGCTTGTAGCCGCCACCACTTCCTGTGGTAGTGAATTCCATGTGTTAATTACTCTTTGGGTGAAGAAGAACTTTTTTTTATCTGTTCTAAGCCTACTGCTTATTAATTTCATTGAGTGCCCATGAGTTCTTGTACTGTGAGAAAGGGAGAAAAATACTTCTTTCTCTTCTACCTTCTCTTTCCCATGCATAATTTTGTAAACCGTGAAGAGTCAGACTTGACTGTGCGACTGAACAACAAATCATGTCATCCCTCAGCCGTCATTTCTCCAAGCTAAAGAGCTCTAACCTCTTCAACCTTTCTTCATAGGGAAGGTATTCCATCCCTTTAATCATTTTAGTTGCCCTTTTCTGCACCTTTCCCAGTGCTATATCTTTTTTTTAGGTGTGGTGACCAGAACTGTACGCAGTATTCCAAATGAAGCAGCCCCATAGTTTTATACAGGGGCATTATGATACTGGCTGATTTGTTTTCAATTCCCTTCTCAATAATTCCCAGCATAGCATTTGATTTTTTTTATTGCAGTCGCACAGAGTTGACATTCTCAGTGAGTTATCTACCACGACTCCAAGATCTCTCTTCCGGACAGTTACCGTTAATTTGGACTCCATCAACGTATATTTATAGTTAGGATTTTTGGCTCCAGTGTGCATTACTTTGCACTTGCCCACGGTGAACCTCATTTGCCACGCTGGTGCCCACTTGCCCAGTCTCGACAGATCCCTCTGGAGTGCCTCACAGTCCTCACCGGTTCTCACTGCCCTGAAGAACTTCGTGTCATCTGCAAACTTAGCCACTTCACTGCTTACTCCCAACTCCAAATAATTAATGAACAAGTTAAAAAGCACCGGGCCTGGTACCAAACCCTGCAGTACCTCACTGCTTACCGCCTTCCACTGTGAAAACTGCCCGTTTATACTCACTCTCTGTCTCTTGTTAATTAACCAGTTTCTAATCTACAAGAGGACTTGTCCTCTTCTCCTGTGACTACTGAGTTTACTTAGGAGCTTTTGATGAGGCACTTTATCAAAAGTTGCCATTTGGGAGGATGCTAGGCAATTACAGCAATGTTGCTAAGCTTTCCATGCCTTGGTTTCCGTAAAGCTGCCATGGGAGGGAGCAGGGGTGGACTTGGAGGCTAAAACAGCCCTGGAAAATGGTCTGTCTCCCTCCTGCCATGTGTCCAATGGAGGATGATGATGACTCATTGGAGTGGGCCTGGTGAGACTCACTATCCATACCACTCAACTGAACATTGGCAACCACCATGCAGCTCAGCCAGACATTCCCCAAGGAGAGGCTGCCAGGAGAGGGAAGGACGGAAAGCTGAAACCAGGGCATCAGATAAAAGTAGGTTGGCTGGTGGGTGGGAAGAAGAGAAGGAAGCAGGAAAAGGGGGGGGGATTATGGGGACTGCCAGGGGAGGGAAGGAGGAAATAGTGGGGGAGGGGCTATAGGCGAAAATGATACGGCCTTGGCAAGTCCTTGTGGGTCCCCTACTTGTTTTTTTGTAATATAATTCCAATTTTTTAAAAAAATAAGACTATAAAATGGTAATGAAACAAAGACTGAGATTCTGGTTATATGAAAGTGCCTTATACTGGCCTGTTCTTAACCAGAATCATCTGTTCTGATGGGCAGTGAGTGATTTTTGTCTCTGGCAGACAGCTTTGCCAGCACTGCTATCTGACCCATTAGACTAGACGTGCCAAGGGATCGAATGTGGGTTCCCCAAATGAAGCAAGGACAGAGATGAATCAGTTTGCAGTGCCTCTTCTTGTTCCAGGTGCAGAGAGGGGCAAAACAATGGAGGAAAAAGGGAGCCATGTGACTATCAGCATTTTGGCAGGGTGCCTGGGAAAGCCATTTTATTTAAAAGGGGGGGGGAGAATTGATCTGTTGATGTTTTGGACTGTGTCTGTACAAGAAGCAGTGGGACCTGGATCCTCTCATAACACTGACAGGGATATGAATGTGGGAGAAAATAGATGAACGGGCTAAGTTCCTGGCTAGTACAGGCATCCAAGAATATTGAGCTTTGAGGAAGAAAGGCAGGAGTTTGCCTGCACCACCTTAATGGAGCTCTAAGAATCCAGGGGGGGGGAAATCACCATTCTTTTTCTTTCTTTTGCTTTAGGCATGAGCTGGAGGTGGAAGTAAGATTCGACAGAGGGCTTATGCCTATGGGAATGGCTGTCATGTTCTGGGAGAATGGTTCCTTTCTGCATTTCCGATATGGCTGCATCTTCCACCCTTCCGAGCCTACCACAGCTCTGCTGCTCATCATGCTGGGGAAAGTCTTGCTCAATCTATTTCTACTTAGAATCAGAAGACAGACTCTGCGTGGAAGTTTTATGGTCCACTTCTGCACTTCACTAGCCATGCTTGACTTGGTGCTTCTGGTGACCATGTTTTTCATTTTCTACTTCCAGGACTTTATGCTTTTGGGCATCCGGTTTACCACGTATCACATTTGCCTTTTGGCACAGATTATGGCCATTACCTACGGGATCTTACATTACCCCATTGCTTTGATGGCTGGCCTGGATTATTATTTGACAATAACCAGAGCTACGTCTTCTAATGTATGTCGGAGATCACTGTACACAGTCGCTGTGGTCTTAACGTGGATTTTGGTTCTCTGTTACGTTCTCACATTACCAAGCAATGTCATAGGACTGGACAAAAACCTTCACAATTCTGGATACCAATGCCCTTTCTACATCAGCAGTCAGAGCTACTGGCTCTCACTAGGTATGCTATCGATCATATGCATGGTTTTTGTCCTGTGTTGGTCAGAAGTGAGGGAGATGGCACAGCCAATGAAGCTGATTTTGTATAAGAGCGAGACTGTGCTGTTCTTCCCTCATGGGCCTGACTGCAGCCCTAGAGACTGTGCGAGACATTTCTTGACGCGGCTGCTAGTCTGCTTTGTTGGCAACTGGGCACCTTTTGTTTTCCTTCAAATGCTCATTGTGCTCCTTGATGTTCAGATTCCTGCCTACATAGAGATGAACGTTCCCTGGCTCTACTTCATCAACAGCTTTCTTATTGCAGCCGCGTACTGGATCAGGCGTCGGCAAATAGAGCTGACAGAGGAGCTCTGGAGTGTTGATCCGTTTGTCAGCTGGAAATTCTGCTTTGTCCCTTTCCACTCTCAGAATGCAGATGAAGCTCAAAAGCCCACCAGTGAAATTGTGATCTGTTAACGCGCCGCTGTGGGAGGAGTATGCTGATTCAGCACAATACTCGGGAAGGCTGTGCTGTTTTGTAACATTTGTTGTGAACTCTGATGGGAGAATAATACACAAATGTAGCTGTGAAGGGGGGGGGGGAATGCCACCCGTGATGCTAAAGGCCATAATGTGCTGTTTTCCAAGTTGGATTTCCAGTACGGGTACTAATTTCAAAATAAAAAATTAACAAAAACTTGGTCAAAGAGGCTTGGTAGTGTTGTTAGCAATAACAGAGTTTTTGGATAGCAAAGAATCTATTGCTGTCTAGGCCCTCCCAACCAAAGTAAGCTAAATTTCTCCTTTCTTAACATCCCACTTCAGAAGTGAAAGAAAAAAGTAAAATACACCACCTGCAATGCCCTTCATCTTTTGGTGCTACTCAAGTGCAGAAGAGAGCGATGAGGATGATCAGGGGTCTGGAGACTGAGCCCTACAAGGAAAGGCTAAGGGCCTTGGGAATGTTTAGTTTGGAGGAGATTGAGGGGGGGCATGAAGTGTTTTTATGTTCAGATTTTGTTTTTACTATTTGATTAGTTTTATTGCCAGAAAAATCTGCATTGGGTTGTTAAATAAGGTGAAACATCAGTTTGGAATAACAAGCAGCTGTTGGCGTCTCTCATTTCGGATGTTGACAAAGAGATTAAATAATCATCAAACTAGACAAATGGAAGTAGCTTTTATTTCTGAAAGCACTGAATTCACAATTGTAAATGCAAAGTTGTAATATAAACCAAGTGGGTGATACCGTAGGTCAAATATTTAATCCCACTAGGAAGAAAATGTTACTGAGCAAGAGGTGGGGAAAATGAAGTGTGCCAATAACAAAAGGTGCAATTACAAGCAAAATGAAGCAGCAAGTAGTATAAGGTGCTTTGATTCATCATTTGTATAATCAGGTTATCCATGGACAGACAGGTTAATAATAAGTAAATTTTACATCACTCCTGCTACAGACCATTACAAATATGAGAATCTAAAATTCGTTCACATGCTATGTTAATATGAAAGTGCATTTTCTTTTTTTAAAAAGGATATGTATAGATACAAAAGTTACCTAAATCACTGTGTGGGTTTTTCTTCCCCCTCCAAATGTACAAATGGTTTAGCTTCCAAGGAAAGGGGGGCAATTTTTTTTCCCTTTCCAGGTTTGCTGGATACAATAGAAGTGCCAAATTGATGCTACGTATGTTAAAACTACTTGTTCAGGAAAATCCAAGTACCATTCCATGATACAAACACAGAAACATACAATAGATATCTTTACAGATTAATCTTACATTATATGTAAATATACTCAAAGTCCAGTTGCCTCGCAACCTCCTCGCACAGACTCACTCATTCCTAACATAACCCCTTGTCTCTTTTATTGGGTTTCATACATATATAACTAAAAAGAAGTGTTTTTTTAAAAAAGGACCAAACAAAGGGATGGGGATGCAATCCACAGGGGAAAAGCTGAGCTCAGAAGCAAATAAAATAATAGTAAATACTGTCAGTTAAAACAGTTTAAAATAGTGCAATAGAAGAGGCAATCAAGTTAAGCTTGCATTCTTAGTAACTATGAATGAATCTGTTTTGCTAGGACTACCTATTATGGAAACACTGTGCTATTGTCAATAGTGAAAAGGCTAAGGAAGATATAAAATGCCTGCTTTACAAAACCACAGAGAATATGCCTTTTTGGAGAAATGCAATGGTTGAGACCACAGGGACAATCTTACCCTTGGATCAGTTGGGGACGGCAGTTGCTTCTTAAGCTGTTCAAACTAGACTCATGTTCCTTTCATTTATTAGCTTCATTGACCAGAGGTCTTAAGCCAAACATACAGTTCAAAGTAGACATCTATCAAAAGGGGAAATGACTTGTTAGTAAAATATTGACTGAACTCAGTAGATTTATGGAACGCCATCTGAGAATGGTACAGTAGCACCAGAGGTTTTAAAAGATTGTGAACTTTCTGAAAAATTTCAAAAGCATGTCAAGGGAGAGAAATATTTCTGAATACATCACAGATAATGTTTTCATTTGGTTTTGGTTCCAGCTGCTCCTTCTAAATGATAAGGTTTAGTCTGTTGCTCTCCAAGTGGCAACCTCATATGTCAACTTTTCAAAATCCTCGGAATGGCAGAAGTTGGTTGTGGGGACGGGGCATGCCTACTTACGGTACAGTTCACAGATGACTTAACACAGCTGCTGTCAAAGAAGACTGCATCTTTGCAAGTGGTCTGTGATTTACCATTTTAATTGTTACAAAAGGATGGATTCCGGATCTAAACTATAGTGAAGAATTCTCTGCTGCTATGAGGCTTTGATCAGAAGCTGAGGCAGAGAGCAATTGGAACACAGGTAGGAGACTTTTATGTTGCTATAACCAACCATGTGGAGTTTCATCTTTTGCTGTTCTTCATTTCCACTAGACCCATATGGGTGTATAGGTGTAAGCAGCGCCTGGACAAACACTTGTCAGGGATGTTCTAGGCTGATCCTGCATTGAGCTGGGGGGTTAGACTAGATGGTCTCTATCGCCCCTTCCAGCTATGTGATTCTATGCTTTTGCTAATTTTTTTAAGGTCAGTAATACAGTGTTTTCATTAACATCCATTGATAATGTTACAAAGAGTACACTTTAGAGAAGGACTGAACACTGAAAAGTTACAAAGAGGAATTTCATGCAGGTGTTCTGGGAAGTGACGCTGGGTTTGCATTTCAGGAGATCAAACCCTTACGAGGTCTGCTAAACAATTAAAGTACTGGGGTGAAATATGATATGAATGTTTGTGTATACCTACTGAGTATACCTACTGAGTTTTTAATATCGCATGGAGGCTACTCTATAAAAGGTTATTTCTGGTGCTGGTGATGACATATGATATGAACGTTTGTGTATACCTACCGAGTTTTTAATACTGCATGGAGGCTACTTTGTAAACTGTTATTTCTACAATTCTGTTAAAGTAAAGGAAGAATGTAAAGCAACTCCCACCACAACCACATGCAGAAATGAACAGAACTCTGGTAATTATGTATACCCCATACTCAGGACAGGCTGTAGTACAAATCTTTGGGGGGGTTTAACACATGGAAACTGGTGGTATGATCAGAGGTTGACTCACACTGCCCCCAGCCCCCCAATATGCAAGTAAGCTTTGGCCATGTTCTGTCAAAGAATATGATTCAGTGGTTATGTAGATCTGTCACACACCCACAACCCCCAAGATTGGCAGCAGGCTGTGAATGCCAGCTCAGAGTCCTTGAGTTTCTTAATTGTCTAGCATGATGGACACCCCACAGAGTTACTTGAATGTAGAAGCTATCATTGTGACAAAGTAAGAATTAGTTCATGCAGATGGAACTGCCAGATAAATCTGTGGATATGCATAGGTGATGAAAAGCAATCAGAAAGATGGGTGTTCATTTAGAGTGGAAGGACAGAGCAGGCAGAGTGAGGGAAAGAATATTAGGTTGGAATTTGCCCTTGCTGGGAATATTCCTTTAATTTTTTTATTACTGGGATACAATCCAAAGAATTTAAACTGGGCCTAAGAGCTACTGCTGAGACTCATGTGCAAAAACAGGCAATTCATGACCATTACTAGAATGGTATTTAAACTATACTCTCTGGCTCACGCTCTAAGTTTCTCAATGTCGATTTTAATATAGAAAACGGGCTGGAGTACTGGCCCATACAATGTCTTTGCTCATGACTACATCATCATACATACATTTTTTCTTTCCTTATAATTACATCACACACTTTTGAAGGTAGGGATCTCTTTTGCTGTAGCTCATGAGCCATGAGCCAAAGTCCCATTGTTAAATACTGGGGGGGGGGGTGCAAGGTGATGGGTGCTACCTCTGACTGTCTTTCTTTCTTAAGTTCCTCCAGCTTGGCATATAGAAGGCAGCCATCCTATAGGAGACTAAATTCTTCCAAATAAAGACATTTAAAAAAGCAGGTGGGCAGATTTGGTGCTTACACCTACAGCTACACGGGGAGGAGGGGATACTGATGTTCACAGTCCACATGGCAGACTTGAGGGGCAACCAAGTGGGGTTTGGATCAAACAGTAAATTGTCCAGGATAGTCATGCAAGTTCTTCCGGAACACCCACCCCCTCAGTTTCCTCAAGTCTAGTTCCAGTCAACCAGCAGTGCAGGAAGCTGGTGTCTAGATGTAACCCACTGAAGGCTCTAATATAGACTCTAATCTACAACAGCTAACAAATGTAGTCACTTGTCCACATAATTACTCTAATATCTATAATGAAGACAGCGAGCAAGGAATGCTTCAGTTCTTAGCTCACTGATTTCATTATCGCTTAAGCCAGAGGTGGGGATTTTACTTTGGAAATAAGTTTGCTTGATTTTTTTATTCTAGAGCTATAACTATGTGCATGGTAAATGCCAGTGGGTTACAGAGCTGGATGTCACGTTGCCACAATGCAACCTCATACCACAACATCCTCAATTGGATTACAGTGCAACTGTGGGCATACTAAAGTTAAAGGCCAGTATCTGAGAGCCAATTCTTTCTTTAGATTTTGTACCCTGGTATTCAAGTATACTGGAATACAAGATACAAAGTTGAGAACGGGTCTCAGAATAAGGCACCACAAGAGAAGCTAACGAGCAAAACAATGTGCTTATCTTGGTTAGCTGTGCTCACCCAAGTACCAGAGTCCACCTTTAACATATCTTGTGCATTTATTTCCTGTGCATCTCCCAGACCATACTAGCAGCTCCCAGAATGTCTGCAGAGAAGGTGTTGTACTTCTCTGTAGGGCAGGAAGGAAGACCAAAATGTTCAAGTGCATGCTTGCTCTAAGACAGAACACTCCATGCAATTAAATGCATTCACATAGTGCCCTAGCCTCCCCTCTTACAATTTAACCACTGTACTGAATAAATGGGTGATTTTATCTTTATTGTGTGAGATAATACTTGGAGGCACACTGAACAGATGAAGGCAAGCTAATTCTGGCCCTCAAATGTCTTGGACATCCTACTGCTGTAAAATTCACTTCTGAATGACTTCAGATTTCATATACTGCATTTCTAGCACAGTGTGCCCAGGCATAGGGGCCAGAGGCTGTGACGCCAAGAGAAGATGGAGGGATTGCTTTCTGTGTCCCTTTCAGGTGCAATATTTGCATCGGGAGGAAGGGACATCTTCCTCCCTTCACACAGTTTGACTCAGCCGCCTTTGTGATCTGACCCCAATGCATGGCAGCCAGGAGGTTGCAGTAAATGGAGCATGAGAAAAGAGCCTTGCAGCAGCCTGGTGCTGCGCTGGTCTGGAAGTACACAAGCTGCCATTGCCAAAGCCTGAGCAACAGGGGAAGACACTCGTCCACGTGACAAGCGTATTATGAACACTTAAGCGGCCATGACAGCTAGTTCTTTTCAGAGCAGACTCATTTGTGCTTCTTTTCTTATTTCTTATCTTTAGGGTTGCAAGGCCCTGATATACTAGATAAGGAAAATACGATAACCTTTATCAGGAAATCACTGTCAACTTTTACACTGTGCAGGTAGTGAACTGGGAGCATTTGGAGACATTGATATAAATGCTTACCGCCCTAATCTAATTATGAATTTGTGCCCCATTTATAATTACAGGAGACAGGAAAGCTGCTCCGGTTTCTAGAATAGACATTTTAATGTACGCCCTTTGGAAAACAGACTTACCTTAATATATAAGGCGGTAAAATCGAACTATTTTCATTTTAAATGGTTTACAGCCCAGTTCCAAGTAGGCTTACTAAGAACTAAATCACTCCAGTGCAGTGTTCCCTCTAAGCTGAGTTAGTGCGAGCTAGCTCACAGTTTTGTAGCCTCCGGCTCACACATTCTTGTCTGAGCTCAGGAAGGAGGGCTCCAGAGCAGACTAATTTATGCAGCAGCCAAATCGCTCGCTCACAACTTTAATGCCAGGAGCTCACAAAGTAGAAGTTTTGCTCACAAGACCCCACAGCTTAGAGGGAGCATTGCTCCAGTGCATTCCACGGGATTTGCTCCTAAGTGAGTGTGCACAGGATTTCAGCCTTAGTCTCTTTGTAGAGAACAGGACTAAACTGGCTTAAACCTTTTCCATTTACATGTGAGACAAACTGACCTGAATGATTTCCATTCCAAAGACTCACCCAAAAAGTACTGAATTCCAAATCCTTCAAGTTGTGCTTTGGCTAAAGCTACCTTCAGGAATCTCTATCAGCTGCTCAAAAACACATTCTAGGCCAAGAGCCCATTTACACGACTGGGTGGCAGCTTTGGCCACATTACATTCCACAGCATATTCGCAAATTCCTGCAATATGCAGACTCTAAACACACTAAAAGTGAGGAACTGGAGAATGATATAATACCTTATAATACTCTTTACAAAAAAAAACTTACAAACATACTCCATCTCTAAATGTTTGGTGGCTTTCCTTAACTCTGTAAGGAACTGGATTACTTTGAGCATCTGACAATTAATCCATTAACAGTTAACTTTACAGGTAGAAACACCTTTCTGAAAGTGTTCCAAAATTCCAGACCAGCATGCAAGCCTAAGTGCTTTTGCTAATTCTAAACTACCTTTAATTAAACAACTAAGGTCCTAATGCACGAAAAAGCCTTTGTTTTTAAAATGGTAAATCAAAACCTTTTTTTTTTTTTTTTTGGTTCTCTGGTCTCCACTCAAAACAAAAAGATAGAAGGGTAATTGTGTTTTTCATTTATACCGTGAGTAAACATTTACCAATCTTCTGGTAAATCTGGAATAAAAACAAAACTTTGACCCACTGCAGTTAAATGCAGTTTCATAGTCCTGCTCATGTCAGTGGGATTTCTCAGTTCCTGATGGACTGGGGTTGATGTCATTTAACTAGGTTAACACAGCGGAGTCCAGAATGCATGATGTAATGTGTGAAACTGGTGTAATATAGACAGTCTTAATACTTTGGTGGTGTTTGGTTTGGGTGTCCTTTCTATATGACAAGTAACTTACTCATCTTATAACACCGGGCTAGGAGGAAGAAGGTCAGAGCACAGATCACTGCAGTTTCAAAAAGTACTCATTCAAAACATGGCAGGAAGCACAATGGCCCTAGCAGCATCCAGCAGAATATCTGCAGGGGGTGGGCAAGGAAGAGAGGAGACAAGAGAACTACAGGAGGAGAAGAAACGTCTGCAGATTCAATTTGCCCCTTAGGGCCATTTGAGAAATCAGAGCCGGACCAACAGCACATAGACAACAATGGGTTTCCTGGAACAGTGCGTGGACAGGTGGACAGTTAGCCTGTGACACATAGCAGCAAGAAAAACTAGGAAGATAACAATATAATGCCCTCTTCGGTGCATAGCAAGCAAACAGAGAACATAATGTCTGTGCTTTTTGTATTCTCCGGGAAGGGCATCATGCCACTCTAGCTCTCAGCAGCTTTATCAATATGTGCACTGACTTTATCGTACAATCTTATTTATCAAGGAAGTCTTCTTTTCCCACCCCACCCCACCCCACCCCAAAAGCGTTAATACATGGGAGTGCTGCTTTACACTGACATGGGAAAAAGTATGGAGTTCAGGTGACCAAAGCTTTTGAGAATGGAAGGCTTACTGCATTTGCAAAACATCTTGCATGTTTTACAGAAAGCCTCCTTGCTTGGAGAAAATACTATAATGGTTGGTGAACTGTAGGGTTATGAGAGAAGAGGCAGTCAGTTACAAGAGCCCTTCAAACTGTACGCTCAAGATTAATTGAAACTCAAAGAGCACAATTAAATGCATAGCATTTTACCATAATCAATGCTTCCACAGACTCTGTGGACTCTTCTGTTAATCCGTATTCTTAAAAAGCTTTCTACAAAGGAAAAAAAAGTGTATAGAAACACAATTTAAAACTGTAATCAAAGTTGTATTTTTTAAAAAAAGCTTAAATCTTGTATGGTAAATAATTGCCTTTTTTTGGAATAAGCATCACCCACAACATGTTACAAACGCTTCACAGAGCTATTCACTGACTCTGCCTCACCCTGCATTTGACTACACCAGTCTGCTGACACAGCTTATGCTTCCTGATAAGCTGGATTAATTACTGGAAGGTTTGTCAAGATTTTATTAAATATACTCCTCCAATAGTCCTTATGTGGAAAAGATGCTTAGCAAAACACAGTAGTAATAATCACATCAATGGTTAAGATGTTGACTTATTACTTTACAAGTCTGTCATCCGGTGGACGCCGTTGTTTAAACCTCCGTTCTCCACTAGGATTCCTTCAAGGAGTTGATCCGTGCACAAATTTTCAGTGCAGGTCCTAGCTTAATATTCATTGCACTCATGAGATGATCCTCTTTCAATAACAGAAGAGCCTGCCCATCGATCTCCTGGGCTCGAAATTCATCAGCAATGTCCTGACAACCTGCAAAGGGAGGGACGAATATTAAAAGCAGGCGGTGCCTGTCATGAAATTAAGACTTGCTTAGATCTCCCTATGAAGAAAAGAAAACCAAGTTTCTCTGAATCTTAGTTGCATTTTAAACAGCCGATGTTGTGCAGTGATTAGAGAAAATGCACACAAAAGGACTCATTTCATACCAGGCAAAGAACGTATGAAGGCCCAAACATCTTCAACTGTCCACAGGGACGGGTCGGATTGCACCGCTGGTAACAGATCCATGTTGTCTGTCTTCTTCCTAATTCTCAGCTCTCTAAGTTCACGCTCCCTTTCCCTCTCACTTTGCCTTCGCAGGCGAGTGGTCATGGCAACTGGCACACTGTCCTCCTGAGAAGCCAAGTCTTCTTCTGCAGATGGATAAGTAATTGGAAGCTGGAAAATGCAGGACAGATAAACCAGAGTATAACCATTTTCCTTTATAACTCTTAGAAAAAGAGTTCACTGTGGAGTTTACTTAACATTCCACGGACCTGCCTATGGAAGTGTTCTCTTGAGGCTCCGTCAGAGCCGCTGGGCCGACGCCCGCGCCGTCCCAGGCTTTGGCTATCCGGGCTCCGGCTCCAACGACTGCTCTTGTCTGATCCGTATAATCCAAATTTCTTACTGCAGCTGACGTTGTACCTAAGGTCCAAAAAGGAAGTAGGCTGTATAACTCACAGTAGCTTATAGAAGATCTCAAGCACAGTGGAAATGCATAAATACATGATAAATGAAACATATTTCCAAACTGTTTTGGATTAAATAAATACATCTGTGCATAAGAAGATGGCCATCCTGTTCGAAATATGGTAGTTTAGTAGCTGTCGTGGCTTTAACTGATCAATCAGTTGATTTATCACTTATATTCATGCTTATTTTCCTATTGTGATTCTTCAACGAAGGTACTTTTTAGTGGCTCCTGAATGAAGATGACAGTATTGGTCTGAGTATAGCTTAAAAATGTAAAAATACTACCAGTGACGAGACAGGATCCAAAGACCTGTGAAACTAGTTCCCATTGAGCCCTAGTTTCTGCAAGATTCCAATGAGAACTGGGGTTCGCTTTTCCGTTCGGGGTTTATATCTCCAGATTTGCTTCAAACAAGGATGCTACCTCTGCCACACTGTGGCAGCCGGGGGCCTGATGGGCCAGTGTGGGAGAAAGGGGTCACCAGGGAAACCACCTCAACCCTAGAGGGAAACTCACCAGTGAGATGGGAGCCTGTGTTAATGCAAAAGAGCCCAAAGGGTTAACCCAGTCTCTGGAATAGAGAAAAGCTAACAAGCAGCCAGGCAATTAGGCAGACCAAGGCTGGCAAGGAGTCTTAGGTGGGAAGAGGAATCCTGCCCTCTGGAAGGATCAGGGGAGGCGACCACAGGAAAGGACAATCGCAGCCTGTGGGTGGAGCTAGCAGGCAGAAGAGGCATGCCATGGGGGCAAGAGGAGAGGCTAGGAGAAGGAAGCCAAGCGGGCTGTTAAGTCTGGACTGAAAGATTCTCACTGTATCCTGAGTTGGTCTGTGGATTAAAGGCTGCTAGTGCTACACCTGGTGGACTCTGTGTGGTTACTGCAAACAACAAGGGTGAGAGCACAGACAAACGTCCACACACCCCCCCCAAAGCCTCTGATGACCATCACTGCTCAAAAACACAAACAACTTTGCAGGGTATCAACCTTTTTGGATAACCCCTGGCTTGCACCCTATTTTCATTTTCTGTTGACAGAAGTATGCTTCTGTCTCCAGGTAAGAACAGTTTCACCAGCTTCCCCCTCTGTGAACCCCCCCCCCCACACACACACTTGGCCCCCTCCGTTCTCTCTGTAAAGGCCTCATGACCCCCAAGAACCATCGTCTGATGGGCAGAGCAGGCTGCAGCAGAAGGAGGGGGGGCAGGGAGGGCGGGATATAAATCTAAAAATAAAATAAAATCAAATAAATTCCATGAATTTCATGACGTTCAGTTTACCCTGGCCCTTATAATATCTGGATTTTTTTAACTTCCTTGATAAGAGGAGAGTGTTTATGCTTGCAAGATTAAATCCTGTCCTTTCCCAAGTAATGCAAGGTTGAATGTAAAGGACTCCATACTCTGGCAGACTTGGTGACTGTGCTGCTGGGCAGTCAGAACCTTTGGAGCACGGCTTACTGGAATGTGCTGCCTTTTGCAGTATTGGGGGATTTGTGAATCACTCCTCTTCTCTGCGGCAATGAGGGGTTGCTAATAAAGTCAATTTTGGACTCTCAGGACTTCTGTATACTGTTTTGCAGTTATTGTACATGTTACAAGTTATACTTGACCTTAATAAACATTTAAAAAAATAAAAAAAGAAAAAGAAACTCTTGGCAGGCGTGGGCTTAGGAGTTACACTGGTTGTAGCCATTTTTTTTGCTCACACAGTTACATTTAAAGGACCTCAAGTGTGGTAACTGTTTGGCTATTTAAATTACTTAGTTTTGTGATATCTAGTGTGACACCGGCTCAGGGCCTGCAGGCTAAATGAGCGGTATCATTAAAGTAAAGATGCTGACAGTTCATTGGATATAATCCAGTATTTCCAACACTTCAATTGTTCAATCATGCAGATTAAAGATTAGAAGAAGCCTTTGGCCATAATCATCAGAAAAACAGTATTCAGCTCTCAGGCGGCAGGTTTTTGGGATTCCATTAAAGAACTGCATGCTGTCAATTATTTAGTTGATTGTAAATTACCACAGCAAAACATCATTTGAACTATCTGTCTCAGCCACTAAAATGTCTCTAGTACAATCCCATTCAAAGAAACAGCACTTAGCAATGGATTAAAGAATTACAGAATACCTTTTGGCGCAGGACATAGTGCAGAAGCGCTTCGACCGCAGAAACTTATTTGCGTACCCCATTTTCCCACAAAACTCGCACTTAAGGAGATCACTTTCCATCTCATCTAGTCCCTCTAAAGAAAAAAGCAATTAAGTCAGTCTCATTTATGATAATATGAAGTTTAAGAACCTCTCTTCTCCAAAGAAGAAAATTTTTTTGATCGATGCTGTTCTGAACTGCACATTCATGGTCTCAGATGCCTGGAATTTTAAATAAAGCAAAACGCTATGCTAAATAATTCAAATTCTGTGACTCAAAAGCTGGATTTACATTATGTAGTACAAGAAAATACTTGCCTATGTAGACTTCGTTTAGCAAACATACAGAGCTGCCATGCTGAGTCAGACCACTGAGCCGTTTAGTCTAGAACTGACTACAAAAGGCAAGATTGGAGACAAGACCCTTTTCCTACACAAGATCATCTAACTGGAGATGGGTGGGTGTGCGTAGCTGCTTACCTTCAGCATACAAAGCATGTGCTCTTAGGGTTGCCAGCCCTCAGGTGGGAGCGGGGATCCCCCAATTTCACAGGCTCCAGCCCGCCTCCAACAGCCACAGCCGGGTGCAAGGTCCCTGGCATGATGATGTCACATGGAAGTGATGCCATCACGTCGGGGACGTTGCACACAGCGACATCACCCCAGAAATATGGGCTAGAAATTTTTCAAGTGGTTTATTTTCCCCAAAAGACTTACATTTCCTATAACTTTTCATAAAATTAGTAACGAAGAATCGATGCTATTTGCCAATGCAATAAGTCAACCAAGCCAATTTTTTTATTGGTGAAAAAAGGAAAAAAGGGTCCTCCGGCCATGGGTCGGAGACAGCTCTGGTCACCCTCATGGATGAGCTCCGCAGGCAGCTGGACCAAGTTGGGTCGGCACTGCTGCTTCTATTAGACCACAGTGTTCGACACGATCAATCACAATCTCCTGATCCACTCCCTCACCAACATAGGAGTTTGCGAGATAGTCTTAAAGTGGCTTCTTTCTCCAAGGTTGGGGACAGAGAATGGCGCTGGAAGAAAGGAAGTCACCTAGGTATCCCTTAGAATGTGGGGTCCCCTGCGGGCAATCCACTCCCCAATGTTGTTTAACATCTACATGCATCCCCTCGCGCAACTGGTGTGGAGTTTCGGGCTGGAATGTCACCAATATGCCGATGACACCCAGCTTTATCTGCTGATGGGCAGCTGGCTAGATACGGCCGCAGTACATTTGGCTGAGGGGCTGGAGGCTGTGGTAGGATGGCTGAAACAGAGCTGGCTGAGACTGAATCCTTCCAAGATGGAGGTTCTGTGCCTGGGGCAGGGAGATTCAAGTTTGGGGTGCCAGCTCCCAGCTCTTGATGATGTGCCCTTGAGATTGGCACAGACCTTCATGAGCTTGGATGTAATTCTGGATGCCTCCCTAACAATGGAGGCCCAAATCGCAAATGTTGCCAAACTGGCGTTTTTTTCCAGCTACGCCAGGTTATGCAACTGGCTCCCTACCTGTCTTGCCCTGATCTAGCCACAGTAATCCATACAACGGTCACCTTCATATTAGACTACTGTAACTCACTCTACGTGGGCCTACCCTTGTTTGACCCAGAAACTCCAACTGGTACCAAATACAGCTGCACGGGTCGTTATGGGGCCCCTGCAATACAGCACACATCCATTCTGTGCTGCAAGAGCTGCACTGGTTTCTGGTGGAATACCGGATCAAGTTCAAGGTTTTGGTGTTGACCTTCAAGGCCCCTAATGGTCAGGGACCCAGGTATCTTTGGGATCGCCTCTCCCGGTATACCCTCAGAAGAACATTGCGCTCAGCAGATCAGAACTTACCGGTGGTTTCTGGCCTGAGGGATGTCCGGCTGTCCTCTACCAGGGCCAGGACATTTTCCACCCTGGCTCCAACCTGGTAGAACTCTCTGCCAAGTAACATCCATGCCCTGCGGGATTTGATGCAGTTCTGCAGGGCCTGTAAGGCAGAGATGTTTCACCAGGCATTTGGTTGAGGACAGCGACGGTCTCATCTTTCCGGCACTCCCACCCCCCACCCCCCCGTGCAGTAGTGGCGCTACTGAATTCTTTAGTGCCGTCTCTTAGGCAATTAGTGTGTGTTTTATTGTTTTAAACCATTCTAAAATTATAGTTGTCATGAATATACTATGTTGTACACTGCAGGGGGAGAGTGGTCTAAAATCGAATGAAATAAAATAAAATAAATAAATCTGACCACCAACAGGCCATGCTGGTGACCATGGGACCTGTATGGGCAAAAGCCCTGCCAGATGGGGACTGTAATATGGAGTGGAATTGGGCAAGACTGAGCAAGAAAGCTGGCTGGATCCAACCCAGTATCAGGCAAGCTTGACATTTCAGTTATAACTAATGCTTTTCAGGAGATCATTTCTAGGAATTGTGTGAGAGAGTAAATGTATATTTTACTGATTTGTAAATGAGGCTGTAGAGGAAATAAAACCACAAATACACAAACTAATCCAAATTTTAAAATAATCAAGTTATGAGAATTCACCTTATTAGCTGTGCATGTAAAACCAAAACGAAAACTAATATTCTTATTTATATCTCTCCTCTCACATGGCATAAGGGATATAATAATCACCAGTCTGATACAGATTTAACAAATCATCCAAGAAGATGCTAGGGAGAGTAACAGAGAAAACTGAGTTGTCCCATTGCCCTAGGTGGAAGAAGGCCAAATTCCATTGAAACAGATGTATGGGCAACCACATCCACAGTCCCTCATGCACATTCTTTGGATGTGCTAAAATTAGTGTGACAAGAGTTTTCTGTGCTATTATTTTTTTCTTGAATGTATACAGTGGAAAGGAAGGACATAAAGGACTTACTCCAGTAAAAAAAATTCCACGTAAAACTTTGAATTTGTTAGAACATTACATTTAAACCACGCTTGATTCATTTTTTCCTAATCAGATATTTCAGTTCAAGAATTTGTTGCTTTTGGGATTTAAGAATTTACACAGGATTCTTTTTACATTTTGGGTACTTAAATATAAGTTAAAATAAATGTACTAAATCAGATCATGCTCTATTTAGGACATTGGAAAATCTTCTGGAAATTGTTCGTGTTTTCCCAGAAACCCCACATCACTGGCTCTGCCATTCTGCTGTTGAGGTCCATCCTCTGCCCTCAAACTCTTTGAAATGTGGTTTATTTAAAACCACTGCTGTAGAGGAAGTACAGTTTTTATCTGACCTTCAGTGTATGTCATATGAAAAATTGTTAATTTCCCTTTTCTATGATGCAAAAATTAGTTCCATATGGTCTGACAAGCAGCTTACTTCCACTTTTAATGCTTCAATAGCACAGTATGCATTTTCCCACCAGTTAGCAAACAAGCAAACATGGTTTTGCTTCTTCTGTGTTCCTCATGTGACTGTCTATGAAGACAAAACTGTCAACTGCTGATATTTAAATTAAATTCATTTCAGAGGAAATGCTGGCTGATGCCTCTGAACAGGACATTTGTAGCACTTGCAGCCAGCTGTCATTTGAGTTTAAACCAAATAGTAAATAAGAATGCAAATGCTTAGACGCCACGGAAAAACAGACACGCTATTGTTGGTGGCCCACTAAAGAACAAAAGCTATTAAAACAGAAACAGCCACAAGTAATCTGGGGGGTAGGGAGGGGATGTAACATGTTAGCATGCATTAGGGCTACCACAGGAAAAGTAATTGTTGGCAATCATTGCAATATATATTGACACAGACTGACATATGCAACTGAGCAGGTACAATTTTTCACAAGATCTTGCATAAAACATGAAGAAATCCTACACACAAATGGCACTGTATTCTCTCCTGACATTTCAAGTTTTAGGGGCCACACCACCCTTTTACATCAGACAGACTGACTGACCCTTCAGCTCAATAAAGCACTAGTGGTGACCAGCAGCTGATCCTGGAAGTATAAGAAATTATTACATTTTCATTCTGCACTGAATACTCATGCTTGCAGAACAGTTTCAGGGGTATATAAGCCTGCAACTCCTTTAAACATCTAATCTTTGAACAAAAAAGACAATTTCATCTCTCTGAGGGCTTTTACAAAACAAAGGTCCAGAAGAGAGGGCTGCACCAGTAAGCAGAACGAGAAAAAATGGTGCAGTGGGAGAAATATTTCATTAGACTTGACAGCCCCTATGAGATCTGCTTATGCTTCATCAGGGGGATCCGTATAATAACGTTGCCAGACAGTTCCCCAGCATCTTTTTGCAGCTCCAATACCTACACATAACAGATTCTCTCTGTGACAATGTCTGAGAAACTCCAACTGGACCTTGAATCCTCAGGAAACAGCCTCTCTTTGTACAAAAATGGGGGCACATACAGATTTTGGGATTTGAACGCACACACTGAATCCGACTCTTGGTCCATCAGTCAGTTCTGTCTACTGAACTCACTGTCAGTGGCTCTCTAGGACCTCAGGTACAGGACTTTCACAACACCTTCTACTCGAAGATGCTGGGGACTGAGCCTGGGACTTTCTGCATGCCAAGGAGAGGCTCTTCCTCTGAGCCCCTCCCTCATACTCCGAACACACGAGGGAGGGGAAAATAAGGTAACTGCAGAGGTATATCTTCAAATAACATACACAGACCTTCAGTAATCATGTCCTCCACCTCAGTATCTGAGGAATTGTCGGCATGCTTTGCATTATTCTGCAGCTCTGGCTCGACACATGTAACATTCATCACCTGGCCCTCCATCAGGAGTCTTTTTTTTGCAGGCTGTTCGATCAGAAGAGATGAACAACTTACCTATTAAAACAGAAAGAGAAAATCATGACACAAGAAAATGATGGGTACTGTTTAAGAATAGCCTAGAAGTTTAGCTAGTGGAGGCCTGAGGCTGCATTCATTATTATTCACTGTCACAAAGTTTATACAGAGTCACAGGATAGGTGCATGCCCCATTTACGACGAAAGGCATCAATCACAGGCTTTTTGGCTCCTGCAACCCAAACCAGACCCAATGGGGGAGGGAAAGTAAGATGAGATGAGCATGGTGGAATGAGAAGAGGAAGGGGCAAAGAAATCTGTTTTTCATTTGAGAAGCATCTTTGCTTGCTTTGGATTTCCATTTGTGGCTTTTAAACTTTATGGGAAGCTCCCCACACAAAGTGTGGCCAGTACTGGTCCAGCGGGCGGTAGACCTTGGGCTGGCCTGGCCTATTTAGTCTCCGCTTTTTTGGCCTTTAGATCTTATGATCTTCTTTTCGCCAATGATTTAATTCTTGTAACTGGACTCATACTAGACACTGCTTCTTTAATCACCCATTTATATGCCTCCATCAAATTTTACAGGTATATAAAAAAAACGCACACACAAGGTGTCAAATCCCCACTGAATAAGATGAAGGTCTGGCTCTCTTTCAAGCTCAGAAGATGCCCTGCACGCACACTGCATCTGACAGCTAACTTTAACAGTGCTGTGCTCCTAGCGACAGACCTTCTCAGTTAGCCCCAGCATATTCAGGAAGAGAGCCAAGCCTCCTTTGAGAGAGCCCACTTACCAGAGTGTGGCAGCAAGTGAAGCATAACCGTGTGGCTGGAAACCAAGGAATAGCACAACAGGTTCCATGTGCCCAATAAGACTCTGGGATTGTGTTTCTTAAACAACTCCACCCTCTGCCCAAGACCATGCCTCATGACGAGCCACTTTTGAAGCTGAGGGTGTCTCCAAAAGCAGCTTGTGATACAGCATGAGGTTCTGCTGTTCAAAGAAGAAAGTCAAGGATCCCACTAGGCATGCACAAGGCCTCGAGTGTGCTCAAAGAGTGTTCTTTGGATCCTGGCCATCATCCTATTCCCATGTTGACAACAATATCCCATCCCTCCTCTCCGGGGCAGAAGGAATACACGTTCTTCTCTCACCAAAGTCAATGGGATGCTCAAAGGTACGCACAGGAAACCATTTTTGAATATGCTAAGGCAACTAATCTAAACTTGCTTGGAAAACTGCTGCACAATTATGCATGGGAAATGAAAATAACAACAGTATATTGCTTTTAAAATGCCTGATTTCATGTTTCCAAATTATGGATCTTTTTGCCCCAATAACATACATGTGTTTTAATCGTTAATATATTTTCAGAACAAATTTTTTTTTGAATGAGTCTCTAAAATACTAAAGTAATTTTACATTTGGCTGAATCGAGAGGTAGCATGAATTTCAAATTGTTTTTTTTTTTTAAGAGATTTGATTTTTTTCTCTCCTAGTAACCAAAATTGGTTCCAGACCAGCTCAGGGACAGTCTAATGCCCTTTTCAGCTATGCAGAGTCAAGCTTCTTTGGTCTACATGGCTGTTTTGTGATTGCTAAAGAGATAAGGTAAACCAATTGGCCCTATCTTGTGGCTGTTTGCTGTCAAAACATCAAAAAGATGTAGTTTAAAAACAGCCCTTAATCTCCAAAACATTTACTAATCTAAACCATTTACTGTATAGTTCAGAAATGCCTCTGCATTCGCCATCACAATCCCTCCAATCAACTCAGAGTGCCCAGTTAGTGGAACCTTCCTATGCACCAATGAAGATCATGTCAAGGGGGTGTTCTCAGTGGCTAACCCATAACTGTGCAATTTCCTTCCCTGGAGACCTGCCCAAGTCATACCTGAAAATAGTTCAAGAATGTACCCTGTATGTTTGTCTGGACTAACTTCTGTTAAGTGGTCATCTTACCTATGAGTAAATGAAGCTGCCTTATATTGAGTTGATCCATTTGAGTCCAGTACTGCATATCCTAACTGGCAGTGGCTCTCTAGAATCTCAGGCAAAAGGTCTTTTATTAAGCTGCTGATCCTTGTACACAAGTAGTTTCCTTATACTGAACCCGACCATTGGTCCTCCATCAAGGTCCGTGATATCCACTCACCCTGGCAGTGGGTCTCCAGGGTCTCAGGCAGAGGACTTTCACATCAGCTACTAACTGGAGGTGCTGGGGATTGAACTTGGGACCTTCTGTATACCAAGCAGATGCTCTCATCACTAAGACGTAATCCCTCCCTTTCTGCATGTGTGGTTCCTCCAGTGTTTTAGAATTGGGGTCCCAAATTTTCTGGATTGGGAGAGAACACTTGTTGGGGATTGAACCTGGGACCTTCTGTATGCCAAGCAGATACTCTCATCGCTGAGCCACAGTCCCTCCCCTTTTGCATGCATGGTTCCTTCACTGTTTTAGAATTGGGGTCCCAAGTTTTCTGGGTGGGGAGAGATAACACTTCTAAACAAATCAGCAGCAGTACTACTAGTTTCAGTGAGTCAGTTTCCCTTCAGTTGTCTGAGGGACAGCGATTACTAATAACAAGCTCAGTCTGTTGTCGAGTTATTCAGAGTAAAAAGCTTCAGTTAAGCAATAGCCCCGAACAACCACAACATATCACCTTTTGGATACAAAAAAAAAAAAAAAAAGTCACAGAAAAGTTGCTGAATGTTTCGCTTCACACTTACAGGAAATGGTTCTAACCCCTCTTGGATCACAAAGCCCTCAATAACATGGGTCAGGATTTGTGGCTTAACGATAGCTTGTGGAAGTTTGTTTTCTATGCTAGGGTTCCTATTAGCCATTGATGCGCTGTTACTCCTTGTGGCGATTGCTGGAAGCAAAAGAGGTGGTGGTGGAATAGAGGCATGTGAAGGGTCTGATGGTGATTTAATTACAGAAGCGCTGAATGATGAGGCCACTGAAGAATGTCCCTCTTGTTCTGGAAGAAAAGTAATGTTTTTAAAAAATATAGAGATAACTCAAGTGCCATCGTCTTCATAGTTACAGAAAGCATTACCTGCATTTGTGGCCTTGCCACTATAGAGCACTCTTCCTAATACTTGTTTCATCAACTGTGGGTCGGTCAAGGCAACTGGTGCCCTCCTGAAGGGGCCATACAGGCCATCTAGGCCAACCCCCTGTTCAATGAAGGATCAGCCTAGAGCATCCCTAACGTTTGTCCAGCAGCTGCTTAAAGACTGCTCAGCTAAGAGCCCTGCAGCATCACGTATGCAGACTAGAAAAATGCGAAGTCTTAATAACATAACACAATCCCAGTTTGCATAACATAATTTAGGAGCTTAATGAATGCACCTATTTCACTGGCATGCAACATACTTGTGGCCGAAGGTATCATATGCAAGCCCCAGTACATATGATCGGTTGTCTGATCTCTTGCCTAAGGCAGTTTTTCTAGATTAAGTACAGTCATAATTCATAGATGATTCACACTCATTTCTTTGCTCCTTATTATTTTAATAAACAGCCAGTAACTCAGATGTTCTAATGTATACAGCCCAACTGAAAAACCAGTGATAAACCCCTTCCCACCCTTCTGTTCCCTGTATCGCATTACTAGGTCAGTTCGATGAGCCATCTAGGCCAGCGGGAATAAGGAGGATGCTCCGTTGCTACCTGTCCCCTGCCAACGTATGCCTGCCTGCAATACAGGGAGAAACTCTGTTTCTTGGCATCAGGTAACTGGTAGACAGCTGTTCTTTTGTCCAGATTTGGGGGGGGGGGGAGAAAGGCCAACAATATTGAAGGCTTGATGGCAACATCTCACTTCCCCTTTTTTAATATATTTCCTAAAAGTGCAAAGTGGTTTTAGAAATTCAGGTCGGTAGCCGTATTGGTCTGAAGCAATAGAACAAAGTTTGAGTCCAATGGCACCTTTAAGACCAACAAAGTTTAATTCTGGGTATATGCACATGAAAGCTTATACCCGAAATTAAACCTTGTTGGTCTTAAAGGTGCCCCTGGACTCAAACTTTGGTTTTAGAAATGAAGTCAAGTGACCGTAAAGCCAGAACAACTGTGCAAATTATCAAGAGGACAAGAATATCAAATGCTGTTGGGAAGTGTGCAGCACCATGTGGCTGCTTTTAGGTTCTGGCCATTAGAACTTCAGAGGTCTTAGGGGTAGCAGGAGAGCTAGTAGGCCTGCATCATGCATATTGGGGAAGAATAGGTCTGGGTAATCAGACTACTGATCAAGGCTGCTCAAGCGATTAATCAAGGTACGTTTAACCACAAAGGATTCTGCCGCATAAGCGTTCCTGCCAATAAAGCACTACGCCTGCATTAGCATTTCTTGATAAAAGATTCTCAGTTGGGAGTGATCTGATTTGGAAGGCTTTGACTTTCCTGCTAGCTGAAAGCCCAGCTTATTGAGATAATCAAGGCCACGTACGAACACACCTCCTCCCCACCTAGATACCTTCCCTCCAATCTTTATTTGGAAATAGTCCTGGCATCCTGGACCTCCTCTTCTTCATCTTCAGTCCTGTGGCGTACCAGCTAAGCTCTCCTTACCCACCTCCTTCTTGCCAAACTGGGGGGGCGGGGGGGTGAATATTTGGTGTTTAACTCAAACCTCTTATAATAAATCTTCCTTCAAAATGAAGTTCTTGGACGCTCCCTCTGGCTTTGCTCATGTCTTTGGCTACAGAAACTTCCCGATTGACCCTCATCATGAACCTCTGTATCTCTACTGACTTTGAAATTGTAGGGAGGCTTTGCTCCCACCACTCTTCTCCTGCAATTATTTTTGGGATTGTGGGTTGCTTGGACCCCTGACTTGGGAACTGGACCTCTGTATGGAACCTCCAGCAATAAGTCTCTGTGTTGCTCTCTTGGCTTTACCTGTTTGGCTACCTGCTTTCCACCTCGGCTTGACATAGGCACTCTAGTGTCAGATATTGTAGCTGTATGCTTGGCATTATTGTGACTGCCTGAATTTACTAATTCTCTAGTTGACAGGTCCCCAATCTTTTGGAGCCTCGGGCACCTTTGGAATTTTGAAATGGGGTGGGGAGTGGCACCCCAAAATGGCTGCCACAGGAAGCAGAGCCAAACACAATACTTCCTTCCTCGTTTTGCAAAAGAACAGCAGAAGGGGAATTAAAAGAAACAAAGGAAATCCCAAAGGGAGGAAAGGAGGAAGAGAAAGGGGCAGTTAACAGAAGGAAACCTTGAAGGGGTAAAGTAACTAAAAGCATGAATGCCTACTAGACCTCCTGATCCTCCAGGGGCAGTTGCCTCTGTTAAATTCATGCAAAACCCTTTATTTGAATGAGGGTATCCAGTAACAAGTCCTGCCTTACAAAGACCCCGCCCACTTTCTGGAAAGCTCAACTGGCACCAGGGTACACATGGGCACCACTTTGAGGAAACCTGCTCTAGTTCATTGTTACTCCCCTTAATACATATTTCACCATTTTGTCAGTAGATGATGTGATACAGCCACTTGTGTGTGTCACTGCTCAGACTGGAATGCTCTTTAAACTGGGAGTAGAACCCAGAGCAGCTGCTCTTTGGCGTGAGCAGCAGTGTTGGGGAAGTTTTCTTCCTTACAGTTGGGCTATCTTGGTGTGAATTGGAAAGTGGGGCACATTTATACAGACACACTATAGGATTCACGTATATTGCCACACACAGAAACATTCATTGACAGTAGGTACCAGAACTTATTTCACATGGTGATAGGTTTGTTCACTGCCCCATTTTACTATTTAATTTGGAACTCACTCAACTACATCACAGAATGTATTACCTGTAATATTAGTAATCAACCAAATGGATCTATGGCCCAAGTTGGGGGTTGAAATGCAATGTAAGGTGTGGGGGTTAAAATGTGATGCAATGAGAATTGAGTTGCATCTACAACTGTGCTGTACTGTCACCATAGCTGGTTAGAGATGACTGCAGCTGGCTTGCAGTCGATTAGGATTTAGAAGCCCTGGACATCTCTTGAGTTCAGAATAGCTGAAAATTGCCAGTAACGTGCCTTGGATCAAGCAGCAAGACAAACAACTAAATTCTACCGCTAACCCAGTGCCTGAAGTTTTTTATATTTATCAATTACATTTTTGTCCCACCCTTCTTCTAAAGATTTCAGGGTGTTGTCCATGGTCCTCCTTTCATCCATTTTATCTTCACAACAACCCTGTGATGTTGGTTAGACTGAGAGACAGACCTGCAGACACTACCATCTTAAAGCGATCTAACATAGCCACAAGGGCCTCGATCCTGATTGAGCCCACAAAGTGGTGGAATGAGGTGCTCTTGTCCCAAACCATCCCCCCTGCAGCAGTTTTGGCACTTGAAAAGGAATTTGGGGGGGGGAATGCCTCAGCCCATTGTTTTGAAGGCCCAATCAGGATCGGGCCTTTGTAGCATGTTCAAACCGATTTAAAATGGTGGTGGCATCCACAGTCTGATCTCTGGATGCTATCATGTCTAGCTGGGCCCTCATTCACATAAAAATAAACCATGGATTGCTTGTTACCTCTGAATCAAGCCCTGAGCACCAAAAGCTGCTCTAAGTAACTAAGAATCTCTATGTTCCTTCTTACCTGAAAAGGGCTCCTCATATCCAAACTCTTCTCTGTTATGTAAGGTGATGGCTGGTGGCGACAGGGTTGGCGGGGTAGGGGTCCTTGCCATGCGGACACATTCAGATTCCTCTGGCATCTCTTCCTCACACATTGCCTCTACTTGATAAATCTGCATGGATCAAATTGGGACGGTCAGAAGCACATCCTCTGAATATTATTTGGGTTGGGGCTTCGGTAGGTGTTCTCCCATTCCATTTCAGGAAGGGAAGGCAGGATAACACACACACGCACGCACGCACATGTTCTCTCTCTCTCTCTCTCTCTCTCTCTCTCTCTCTCTCTCTCTCTCTATATATATATATATATATATATATACACACACACACACACACACACACACACATATATATATCCACTTAAGCAAAAGTATTCTAAATTAATTTTAATGAATCACTATCTGGTGCATTTTTAAAAAAGATACAATAACTCAGTTCAGATATAACATGAAATCATGGTTTATGTTAACTATGAAATCAGGATTCTGCTCAATCACTCAGATCCCAGTTTGCGGGCTTTGTTTTCTTCTCTCTGTAGCTGGGGGGGCGATATCAGAGAACAAGCCAGGATTAAACCAGGAGTAAGCTTGGGTGTTTACATTCAGATATCATGCAAACCCATACTTAAAACTAACTGTGGTCAATAAATCTAACACATTCTGGCTTCAGATTTTATCTTAATGGACCCTAACTAACCATTGTTAATAGAAGTGGCCTGCATTCCCTCACAATAATAATAGTTCAATTAAATGACAGTTTTGTGCAGTATCTGAACTGAGTCAACATGTTGCAGTCTGCAACAAAAAAATATAATTCCCATGACAGGAAAAGAGGAAAAATAATGCAACCACTCACAAATGTAGACTTCTAAAAATAAATAACAGGTTGGATCTATGCTCTGTTCATCAAACAATATTGCTGTATAACATATGGCTTAGTGGTTGAACATTTCAGAAGTAAACTCAGGAACAATTTTATTGACTAAACTGTGGTAGACCCCTGACATCACCGTTATATGGTTTTAACCTGTTTTTATGTGTTGGCTTACACCTATTTGTGAGCCGCCCTGAGCCCACGTCGCGGAGAGGGCGGGCTATAAATTGAATTTATAAATAAAATAAATAATGAGCTATTATGCTAATAGCCTATTAGATATGCTAATGAGCTCCTGCAGCTCTTTTTCTACGAAATGACCCCTGGATGTACCTATGTGGAACCTGACACACTCAAATTGTGAAACTGGTATATATGTTTTGTAGAAAAAAACAGGTCTGCTTACAAACCTTATCAGAGCCTATGTGTATAAATAAATGACATCTTACCAAAAAACTCCCCCCAAAACACCCTGAACCCTCCTTGTACTGACAAACCTTATGAGAATTTGTGTGTATGTAAACAAATAAAAAGGAGCTGCGGTGGCTCAAGTGGTTAAGACGCTGAACTGCAGGCTGTGGAAGGTCAGTAGTTCAGCAGTTCAATACCCGAGTGTGCCGCATGACGGAGTGAGCTCCCGTCTCCAGTTCCAGCTCCTGCCAACCTAGCAGTTCGAAAGCAAGAAATTGCAAGTAGATAAATAGGTACCACTTCAGTGGGAAGGTAACAGCGTTCCGTGCGCCTTGGTGTTTAGTCATGCCGGTCACATGACCACAGAAATGTCTTTGGACAGCGCTGGTTCTTCGGCTTTGAAACGGAGATGAGCACCGCAACCCTAGAGTTGGATTCAACTGGCTTTCGAGCAAGGGAACCTTTACCTTTTAAACAAATAAAATGTATTACATCTGAAAAGAATTCAACCTTCCTTCTTGCCTTGAACACAGAAAGAAAGCTACCAAAGGCTTACCACTGGGGTCTCAACAGGTACTGCTGGTTGTACTTGAAGGTTTACTGCAACTGTCTGGGGAGGAGGAAGACTCTGAAATGGCAGCTGGACCAAAGCTTCAGCGGCAGGTAGCTCCTCCTCAGAAACCAATGTATTCTGTACCAAAACCTGACCCTGGGACAAAATTTCAGGTTGTAAAGACTGAACAGGTGGGAGAGGGAGTGGTTGACTATGGGCTGGAGATGTTGACAGCCGTGGAGAAGTTGCAACTGGGATTGGTGTGGGCTGCAACACTGGATACTGTTGGTGAGGCATTGGAGATGTTATCTGGTGGCCTGTAGACACCACTCCAGGCTGATCTGCTGGTCCAAGGTGTACTACCGGAGAAGAAGGGAGCCGTGGTGGAAGATTTACTGGCTGCGATACTGGTTCTGTTGAACTGTCACTGGTCTGTGCTGGGTTCTGCTCGGACTGAAGTGCTGATGATGCTAGAGGATGCGATTGTGACTGAATAAGAGCTTGCGGGTGGATGATTATTGTGGGTGACTGGCTGGGTGAAGGAGGCGATGGAGGAGATACCACCACTGATTGCTGTGAGGACTGAGACGGCGGTGGAGATAGTGTAGGAGGAGAGTGATGGATCTGAACAGACGTGCAGTGCTGTGATGGGGCACTGCTGGGAGGTGGAGGAAGAGCATGGCCTTGGAGTGGTACACAGTGCTGCGATGGAGATGGTTCCTGACTGGGAGGAAGCTGGAGTGCGATTGGCTGAACTTGCTGCTGTTGGAAGATCAGCTGATGGTGGGAAATTTTTGAAGGTGGGGAATGAACAGAAGACTGCTGATGCTTTAACAGAGAATGTGGTGGAACTGGAGAATATGAAGCTGCACAGAGAGAAGAAAAAAGATAAATTAGCATTCATTTCCTTAAGGGCATTACAATCCCACAGACACTATGCAAGCTTTCAGATGAACAGAAAGAACTATGGCTGCCCAGTTTTTGACAAAATCAGACATCATCTTTACAAGTAACCTCTGGTACACATTCCAGCCTATCTTCAGAGGCATAAGCATGTGAAACTCAAGTTTGAAAAAATGAAAAAATGAAACCTGAGATGGACAACAAACCAAATTCTACACCCCATACCAAATTCCAGGCTTGTATGGAATCACAGATCACACCAACCCTGGATATCTCCCTTATCTAGGTTCTCCTCGTATTAACTTAAAATGTCTTGTTGAACTACTGTATGATACATCTGTAAGTTACTTCAGACAGAAAGCAGACAAGGAGTTTGAAGGGGAAAAAATAATATTTCTTTCCCCATTTGGGAAACGCTCATTTTGACAAAGTTTGGGAACCCTTGCTTTAGGACAAAACTTGCATTTAAATGGAATATTTTATCCCTGGAAGTCAAGAATAGCAAATATTGAAGTAATATCTGGAAGCCTCTATAGTGGGGTCTTCCATATTGGAAATTATTGTCAGCAAGCACATATATTCCTGGCTGCCTTTGCAAACCACCTCTTCTCCAACCCAAGGATCAAATTTCTTACAACCCACAATTCTGCTCTTTTAGTGCCTTTGCATGCTCTCTCCTGGTGTGCTAGATATAGTTACAAGGCAACATCAGGGGAAGGCCTTGGCCTCTATGCCCTGTTGTTGGCCGTCCAGAGGAACTGGTTGGCAATTGTGTGAGATAGGATATTGGACTAGACGGACAATTGGTCTGATCCAGCAGGGCTCTTCTTATGTTCTTATGAAAGATTTCATGTCCTGAGTTTTGAAGTTGAGAGGTAAATCAATATGTCTAATTATCAACATGGCCAAATATGTGGATACTTATATACTTAAATTTGGAGATTGGGGCCATGAACAGACAAGACAGATTGTTCTACAAATCTTAAAAATGCTTCGTTTGCAGAAAAATCTGAAATCTTAAAAAGAAAACCACGGGGGAAGGGGGGGACGGATAACCTCCCCAAAATAACAGAAGCAGCACCTGTAGCTTTAAGAAACATATGCCCTCAGTAGCTGTTGCTAGGATGCCACAACAGTATTTACCGCCTTCAAGCCTTGGTTTCTGTCAGTAAAGGCATAGGTAAGAGGGCTGTTTTTAGGGCTATTTTGGACTTTTGAGGAGGACTCACTGGGGCCAGACCCATCAGCAACCACTGGGCAACTTGCTGCCATGTGATTTGCATCACTCATGCAGGACTGGATGCTTGCTACTGTTAAACAGCATCCTCCACATGAAAGCCAGTGTGGTATATTGGTTAGAGTTTCAGAGTAGGATCTGGGAGACAGAGGTTCAAATCAGCAATCTGCCATGGAAGCTCACTTGGTGACCTTGGGCAAGTTATACATTCTCAGCCTAGCCTAACTCACAGGGTTGTTGTAAGGATAAAATGGAGGAGAGGAGAATGATGCAAGCTGCTTTGGGTTCCAATTGTGGAGAAAGGTTTTTATTTATTTATTTTATTCAACTTATACCCCGCCCTCCCTCTACCGAGGCAGCTCAGGGCGGCTTACATATATGTAAGGTGGGGTATAAATAAAGTAAATAAAGTGTAGATGAAAACAAGGGGGCAAATTAAAGGTAGGTTGGTGGGTGGGAAGGAGAGAAGTAGGCATGGGGAGGTGAGGATATGGGAGTTGCAAAGAGGCAATAGTGTGGGGAGTGGAATAAAGGGGAAAGTATGGTGATCCCAACTCATTGTGGGTTCTCCACTATGCAACTGGGCCTGGCCCATAGTTTTCTTGGGTAGATGCTACTGGGGAAGGAAAAGGTGAAGACAGGGTGTCATATACAGGTAGTCTGGCTAGTTTGTAGGAAGGAGAGAAGGAAGTAGGAAAAGTGGAGAGGCTATGGGGGCTTTCAGGAAAAGGAAAGAGGAAATAGTGGGGAAGAGCAAATGAGATGCCCCCTTGTACAGCAAAGTACCCTGTTTCCCCAATAGTGTTAATGTGGGCATTAGTGGACCTATTCCAGTGGCAGGTGTCTGTAATCAATCCATCTTGTCCACAGGCTCTTATCTCCTTTGAGGCCGGTGCCAAGAAGGTGGCAATTAGTTCTTCCTGAAAGCTTGTGATCTATGAGGGGAGAGGGGGGAGCACGAGCGATGATGCAATCTTCCAGAGAATTCCTGTGAATGTGAGCCCTGATTGGATCTGGGATGTCATCTGATGCCAGAGGGCCAAATATTATAATTGAGCTAGAGGTTAATGGGAGGGGGCTGCTGACTTGTTGATTTTGTTGGACGGAGGCATGGACTATGCTGGATCATAGAGGAATGCTCAAGCCTCTGGCTTTGGACTCTAAAGTTCTGTGCCTGTGCCATCTGTCAAGTATCAATGTGTTACACAGAGGAGTCGGCTTTTTTTTGTTTTCTGCCATTTAATCAAGTAGACTGTGTTGCCTAATGGTACTTCTTCTTTGGTTATTAAATAAATCTCTTCCTATATTTTAAAGAAAAGGTCTGGTTTCTTGTGTGCCCATAGCTTCAGGGACCCTCAGGTCTGAACACAGCTGGCCTGTTAGAGGAGCTGTGGCTCAGGGAGACCCAGGTATGGGTCTTCACACCCCTGCAAGTCTTCGCGGGACCTCTACTTGTGAATCCTGTTTCATACACCTGGTTCAGATATGCTAGACAAACTAGAAGTGTACCAAATTGCAGCAGCTGTGCAAACACAGTTTTGATATCCCCATCCCTGATAGCCAAGCACCTTTATGCATTGTACATAAACAAGAATATAGGCAAGACAATGACTCAAACACATCAAACACGTTTTCAGTTAACAGCCTTTTAAAACCTACCTGGTGCTATGAGCTGATGAATACTTGATGTTCGTGTAACTGTTGGACTTCGAGGCTCTGCAGTCGGGCTGTCTCCTTTTCTTTTACTTTCTAGAGGATCCGACTGGCTGGCTTTGGTACTGGTTATAGGTTTATTAGGACACACAGCTAATGCCTGGGTTTGACTGCTGCCTTTTGGGGAGCCGTTCTGTGAACTAGACAAAACACCCAACTTCTGGCTGCGGAGTGTCAAATTCTGGACCTAAGAATGACAACAGAAAAAAAATGTTTAAAGATCTAAAATAAAATCTAATGTCCACAACAACTCGTTTAATATGATAAGCAGTGAGGTGCTGCAGTAAAATAGCAAGACCTAGGTTACAGTTGACACCCAACCACAAAGCCTACTCCATAAGCCTGAGCTAATTGTGCTCCTTCAGCCTCAGCTACCCCATAAGGCTGTTCTGAGCATGACATGGAGAAGGGAACTGTCAACTGCATATGCTGTTCTGAGGTTTTAGACACGTAGGATAAAAAAATGTAATAAAGGAATACCATAGCCTTATACCAAAACCAGAATAGCTCACACATCATAAGATAATTGTTAAACCCAAGATTTTATTTCCGTCAAAGACTCAGCTTTGCTATATATGACAGTTAACAGCAGGGCTAGAGAAGTGGCATACAAATTTTCTAAATAAATCAATATGTTGCCAAGTACCGTACAAAGTAGAGATGTAGAGACCTTACAATACATGGACAAGACCAAGGAAACAAGTTTTCTCAGGGTCCACTTGAGTCCATCTGTGTCATGGCCAATGATACAGGTTTGTTCCCACTTTGTCCAATGGGGACATGCTTTGAACTCCTGGCTACCTGTGACCTGAGATTTCTCACCTTCAAGCCTTCCTGGTTGCAATGTACTCAATAGGAGTGTACATTTGGCATAAACCGAGCCGAAAAAATACCCCATGTTGCAAATTTGATGCCTCTAGCTCAAAAAGCAGCCCCCCCCCCCGCGCCCGGATCGATTCTCCATTATAGCCTATAGGGACTACTGACTATAATGGTCGCTATAGGGTATAATGGAGCCAAAAAAATTCAGCAAGCCCAAATATTTTCCAAATCTGGATATCGTACTGGATTTGGAAATATTGGGAAATACCAATATTTTTTGGGTTCAATATACCAGAACCTGAAAAACACATTTTTTTGCATACCCCTAGTGCTCAACAAAGAGATCCAGTGAATTCTACTCTCTGCATGTATTCCCTCATTTGCGACTCCACAGGGGTCAAGAAGTCCTGTGCCCCAGATACTCTTTCTACCAAATGTTGTTTCTGAGTTCTGTCTGAATCAGGATCTGGTCTTCCTCACTTACTTTCCTAAGCTAATCTCTAATGTAGGGAGAGCCTTGCATTCTCTGGATGACGACACTGTTTGGACAGAATTGACCCTTGGGCCTCTTCTTGTGCTACTCAGGCCCAAAGAAAAGACAAAACGTCTCTTCCCAGAAACCCAACCCCTCAGTCACTGGTTCACAACTACTATTGAATTCTATAATAAGTTCCCCATGAGCTTCTTCCTGGGGCAATCAGAGGTCATGCCTAGTGAACATTTCCCATATCATCAGCCAAGGGATCCTTCTCCCTCAACTCTGCAGAGAACCCATTGGGCCAAGCCTTTAACATTCATGAGGCACTGTGCCTTAGGATCAAAACCAAAGCAGATGTATCCAATGCTATCTTCTCATAACTGCACTGAACTTGTCTCCAGGTAGGTTACCATACTAATCTTACCTTGTGAGATGTACAGAGACCATGAAGAAGAAAAAGAGGCTGTTTGTAACTGCTTTTCTTTGAGTGGTCTTTGTGCATTCATGTGCACCTTCCTTTCCTGCAACAGGTGCTTTTAAGTTGCTATGGAGCTATGTTTTTGGGAACTGAGCAAGAAGACAGAACTCCTCCCCCCTTGAACATGCACAGCTGAGACTGTGCCACTAAGAAGAATGTTGTGTGTGCCTAAAAGCTAGCTGCAGAGGTTCCCAAATCAAAGCTTTGCTCAGGTGCAAAGGCCATAAGTGTGATATACAATCGAAGATTACAAAGGAGCCAAAGAATTTGGGGGCCCTCTGCTGGCAAAAGAACAGGAATTAAGAAATCAAGTAAAAAAAGTAAGGAAGAAGCATAGAGTACAAAACATTTGTTTGGCTCCAGCCAAAATGAAGCATGACAAATATCTTTTAGAAATGTCAGAGTTGTAGAAATAAAAAAGGAAGGATGCTAAAAGATTTCATAGCAGATGCAAAAGAAAAAGAACACAGTTTAATCCGAAGTAGAGTCACCCTTCAAAGTCTACTTAAATCAAGGGGCTTAGAAAGATGCAACTCTGTTTAGGATTGCACATAGTCTTGGACAGGGGTCAATTCGTAGAAAAAGAGGTGCAGGAGCTCATTAGCATAACTCATTTGCATATGCCACACACCCCGACATCACCGGAAGTGAGTCAGAAGGCAACATCCACCGCTCAGGCTCCACTGGACTATTTTGGATTGCTAGCTATTGGGGAGGGGGGAACGTGCAGATCTGTCCTCGCAGAGGAGGGAGAGCTTGTACCTGAATAAAACTTGGTCTTAAAGGTGCCACTGGACTGTTTTGGACCGGGGAGCCAGGGGGAGCTCTGCAACTTACCTGACTGCTTCTTTCTCTGACTGAGGGCTGCTGGGAGCAGGGGGTGGGGCTTGTTGCATGTGCCCACCCCCCTGGGCTCTTTACTGCCGGAGCTCTGCTCCTGTGCGCTCCTGCAGGAAATGACCCCTGGTCTTGGAGAATAGCATAGCTGAGTTTCTTGGACACTTTGGCTCAAGGAAGTTTTGTATATGCTCTTTGGCCTTTCTCTCTCTCTGTCTCTGTTATTCCCAACCACAGAGAAAGGTGCATACTCTTAACAGGGTATCATGTCTACCTGATCAACATGATTCAGCATAACTTACTCAGAAAAGTCAGTCAGAGGGCACTGAAAATTGATGGATAGATTGATATGAAGTCGCCCAAAAGCAATTAAAAAACTGAACACATCAAGCTACTCTGAGTGGGGGAAAGCCAATGAAATCTTAATCTCCAAACCTCGAAGATAATATCGAAGTCATAGCAAGGTCCTATTTATTTTATTTATACCGTGCCTTCTCCCCAGTGTGGACCCAAAGTGGCTTTACATCAGTCTCTCCTCCTCCATTTTATCCTCACAATAACCCTGTGAGATAGGTTAGGCTGAGACTGTATGGCTGGCACAAGATCATCCAGCGAGCTTCCAAGAAATAGGAATTCGAACTCAGATCCTAGTCCGACACTCTAACCACTACACCGGCTCTGTTAGTACAGTTGTCATCAGCATGCTGACAACATTCAGCTATATATTACTTTGAATAAACCACCACTCTGTCCCAGTGTCTCATTTTGGTGGTCAAGTAGCAGGGGGGAGAACAAACTGAAACCAAATCCAAATAAAATGAAGGTGATGCTGGCTGGAAGACCCACTGATCAAAATGGACTGTTCTACCACTCCATGGTGCAGTCTTTTGCTGACGGACTCTGTTAAGGGTCTGGTCTCCTGTTGGAAAGTTAGGAAGCAGGTTCCCTATTTGCAGAGGTCTGAAGGCCTCTTGTTCGGGGCTAGGTTACTGTAACCTATACTACATGGGGCTGCCCTTGAAGACAATCTGGAAACTACAGCTGGTGTAAAATGCAATAGCCCATTTATTATTGAGGCCTCTCAACTGGCTGCAATTAGTTTCCAGTGCTGTGCTTACCTATAAAGCATTTCATTACCTGAGGCCCACGTATCTGAAGGACTGACTCTCCTGGCACCTTCTCGTGTGGCAGCTTTAGTCTTCTCAGCAAGGTCTCTTGTCAGCACCTCCTTTATCTAAGGCACATTCTGCGATTGTTTAGGCTTCAGCTTTTCCAGGGGCTGCCTCATGTCCGTAGGACAGCCACCTGGAGGAGGTCACGGGGGCTCTTGCCCTCCTGGCTTTCAAGTGAGACTATAAGATTTAATCCGGAGAGCTTTCGGAGGCAGCTCGAACCTGAGCAAGAAGAGGCATATTCTCCTTTGGGGCAGAAGGTGTTTCTAGGTGGCTTCTCAATATTGTTTTAATCTCCATTTTTGGCAGATTGTTTTTATATTGTCATTACCTGTCTTTGGTCCTGATGTGCTCAGGAGAAAGGTGGGTATATAAACAAATAAATGAGATTATCTATCCTCTCCAGTACCACCAAACAGAACAGCACACTAAAAGAAGCCTAAAGGGCATATAACCTAGGTCACGGAAGACTCTAAGATCTCACTTCCTTCCCCGCAGCTCACTGTATTCTCTAAGGCAACTCAATAGGGCAAGCCAAGATGACTCAGGATACACAGAGAGTAGCTGCTCCACAACCATGGAATTCCAGTGCACTGGGAAGCAAGCAAAATCCAAAGACAAAATGGTCCTGCCTAGGCTTCTTCTCCATGTATGTATGTATGCGTTAAGTCATTATAAGGTTAGGGTAGGGCTTTGTTTGTACTGAGATACACTGGGGTTGATCCATCGAGCTTTTCACTCAATCCCACCCGATTCCTTTCTTTACTTCAGCACCTGCTCAACCTGGCTTTGGTCCATGCAGGTTCCATGATCCCCAGCACTGCCTTTTTTGCTTAAAGGAAACCCCTCCTTCCTTTTTCTCTTGCTGAAACGTTGATTGGGTCCAGCTCACTATGTTTTTAGCTGTTTTAATTTAGCTTCTAAGTAATTTCTTATTTATTTAAATCCAGGGAGCACAGCAGGCGGCAACATGAAGTGGCAGGGAAGTTTCATCCAATTAATGCTGGCGGATTTGTGGTGCACAGGATCATTTCCGGTATATTTTATTTTTAATAACTAATAATAAAAACAGAAAGAAAAATGAAACTACAGGTAAAGGGGATACAAAGACAATATGGAATGGGAAACATGTTGATAGTAACAGAAAAGAAGCACCAGTTAGAAACGGCAAATTCAGTATTTGGGGGGGGGGGCATCATGTTAAGATTTTTTTTTTGGAGGCCTGAGATCAAAGAACCTACACAAAATGATTTTTAAATCTTTCCTTGCTAAACACTCGAAATCTGTGGAATACTGAGTTTTATGCAATTGCAATAAAACATATTCATTTGTAGGAAAATGAAGCTTAGCATGGATAAACGCTTCCTTGATGATGTTCTGAAATTAATGAATATTTAGGAACCAAAGTTATGAACTTCCATGTCTTTCAGCTTTTAATCTTTCTTGGTATACTTTTTATATGGGATTAAGCGATGGAAAATACAAAGTGAAGTTTTGTTAACCATGGTTAAGCATCACTGGCTGGTGGATGATACTGATGCTTTATGATGTCACTGCTGTCATGGAAACCATATGTGCACACAAATGAAAATGCCACCTGCTAGTACAAGAGCATGGAAAGCTGAGAGAGGAGGCAACATCTTGAGTGGGGCAGGGTCAGCAAAAACTGAAACAAGAACGCTCCACGACCCGGGGTACAATTCTGGTTTCGGACACCTGGTATGGATCAGGAGACTGACTGGCTAAAAAGTCAAGCCGGTCTTTGCAAAGTAGATCTCTATAGCGCAGAAAGTCAGAAGGATCAGGATCGTAAAGTGATCTGCTTTGTTGATGTCTCCAGCCTTGACGTGAAAAACAAAAACCAGAAAAGCAAGAGAGCTATTGCTGCCCCTTCCCCCGAACTTGACCTGCGTAATCTTGAAGAGAAGGAAGTCATTGTAATAAAGGATAACGAGGGAAACCACTCCAATACTGAAGGAGCAGTTTGCCTTTTCAAGCAAGGCTCCTCTGACGAAGTCAACGTTGTGAGCTGGCTCAGCAACGACCTTCAGAAATACGCAGCTGGATTCCAGCATGCACTAACCCCCTCAAGGCATCATAAATCTTCTTACAATTCATCTGCAGTTGACAGGATGTCCCAGGGCAGCGACACATCATTTAGGGGCTCTGGGAGCCAAAGAGGAGACGACCTTTCCTATTACGTTAACAAGCTGTGTTCCTTAGTTGTTCAAATGGCACATAAAGAAATGAAGGATAAATTCGAAGGCAGTGGTAGGTGCATTCGCCAGTCAATTAATCCCCGTGGATCTCCAAGCAAGGTTTCATCCAGTGATGAATATGGTAAGCTATCCCCAAAGACCTCTCATGACGATCCCCGGAAGGCTTCACTCTTTTATGGAGAGATGTCTAATCAGTCTAACCAGAATGCCTACAGACAGGGACAAGACAGACAGATGTGTCAAAGGAAACCGTCGGGAGTGTCGGATGATGGTTCTGTAAGCAAAGGGCTGATGGTGTATGCAAACCAGGTTGCTTCAGATATGATGTTCTCATTCATGAAGACCATGAAAGTCCAGAAAGGTAAGCATCCTCCACCAGCTTGTGTAGTCTTAAAGAAGGTACTCCTCAAACACACCAGAGATGTCATATCTGACTTAATTGACTCCACCATGAAAAATCTACACAACGTCACAGGAGTACTCATGACAGACTCGGACTTTGTTAATACAGTGAAGAAGAACCTTTTCAATGTGGGAACCCAGAAGTCAACTGAGATTTTGGAAGCAATGGTGAAACGCTTATTTAAAGCACTGGCAGGGGATGATAAGCACAAATCTCAAAGCCTCGCATTTGCAGCACTGAAGGCAGGCGCTCACTCAGACTCCAGATCTCAGGGACTCCAATTTGCATCGCTTAAAGGTGAAATGCATGGCCCAGGGAGGGACAGAGGCAATGGACAGATGAGATCTCTTCCAAGTGGAAGCAAAGGCTCAGACAAGCACTGCTCAATGGATGTGTACGCTAAGGACCTTATTGTAACAGCATTAATGTTAATTCAGCAACACCTCCTGGAAAAAAACAAGGACCAAGGTATCCGTGAGACCAACACCACATCATTTGGCTATGTTCATGACAAGTCTGGTGGTTCCAAATACTCTCAAAGACAAGGCGGCGGGAGGCAAGATGCTCACCTTGAATCACAAAAAGGTGATATATCGAGTATTCTCTTGTCAATCATCCAGAAAGTACTGAGAGAAGCTGGTTTCAGTTCGGATGAAGGGTCCCCCGACAGGGGCTATAAGCAGCCTCCCTTTAGTGAGAGCAGACAATACAGGGCTTCATCCAAATCAAATGGGAGCCCCGAGATGTACGACAACATGGAACAAATAAACAAACAGTTTATTGATCAGCTGGTGGAATCTGTGATGAAGCTGTGCTTGTTGATGGCTAACGGCAGCGATTTCGACGGAAGACTTGGAGGAAGACAGCTAGGTTCAACAAACTCTGAAGTGATTGTGAACAACCAGAATTCCAACAACAGTTCTCAGAACAAAGAGCTGCAAGCTGTGCTCCAGTGGCTGGTTGCTTCACAGTTCAATGTGCCTAATTTGACATTCATGAATGAGCAAGATGGTGACTTGACCAGGCTTCCTCAGCTGGCTGACAAAGCAGCCAAAAAAGGCTACAGCGTAGGAGATATAGTTCAGGAGGTGATGCGGTACTACGAGAAACAACAGATGGATGCCATGTCAGGGCAAATGCCTCGGTGTGGACTGGTCGATTGGCTCCTTGCTAACCTGTAAGAACCAACTCTTCCCTCTCATGTAACCAACTCTCCCCTCTCATGTTACTTGGTGCCCAGCTGAAGCGCCCAAACCATTCCTTCCTGGCGCAGAAGATCACCACCACTACAGCCCCATTGCAAGCAACAATGCATTGACTTGAACTGTCTGATTAAAATGGGTAGCTGGGCAAGCTCATCAATAAAAAAAGAATAAAAAAAAAAGTGAGGGGTAGACAGACTGTTTTATTGATCACTTCAACAAAGCTTTATAAACAGGTTCCATCTAGCTATATAATTATATATACTTGCCTAAGCAATCCAAAAATACTGCACTAAGAAAATCTGAACTGCAAGGTTTCGGTGCCACCCAGGATTTCTGGCATCCCCATAGGCTGATAAGGAAACTGGGGGAAGGGGGGAGTCAGAGAAAGACGGGGAAGGGAAAGCTGTGGGTGATTCCACCAAGTATGTTTTCACAGCAGTTCTTATTTTCAGCCACAACTGTCATGAAAGTAGTAGTTGCTACAACTTTCCAGCTGGCTCCAAATGAGATAGTGTTAATTTTGGAAAGAAGCGTTCTGTGGTCACTGTGAGAATCTTCTAGATCCAGAAAATAAATGAGAGGGTAACGCATTAGACTTCTCTGTTCTTAAAAGATCCTCTTGTCTTTCTCAGGGCAGGAAGAGAATTCAGCTAATAAGCTGTTGGGCAGACTGCTCACTGTGAGAGTTAAGGGAGACTCTCTCCACTTCTCTGGTTTTCCTGACACTGACGCAACCCGGTTGCTTACACTAAGGAAATGTATAAACTCGGTATTGCTAAGGTGGGATTACACCATATTTCCTTTGTTCTACTGGTGAATCTTGTTCATTTTTCCTGGGCCTTATAGAATAATGTATCTAAAATATGAAGGGTCCCCCCCCCCCAAAGAGGCATACTGCTTGATGCCAAGAGGCAGGAGATTGGGGAAAATGAATGGGAGGCCCACAGTTTGAGCTCATGGAATACAGTTTGCTTCCATGAAACATCTAGATAGACCTATATTCTAGCTGCATTTGGTGCACCTTAGTTTCTCTTGCTCTCCCTGGCATATTAAACGTGCCTTCATAATGACAGCCGTTTAATGCTAAACTGCAGGCAATAAAGGGCATTAAACAGAGATTATGGGAGCATCAGCCATTTTGAGCCTGTTGTGCACTGTCTTAGACCTGCATCTTGTTCATTCTTGCATAATGAAAAACAATTCATTAGCTGTGCTAGTTGGAAGCTTCAATAGTTATCGTCTGTGAACTAAACTGAACCCAACGTGTTAGTACACCACAGCACACTGTGGAAATTAAAAGCTCACTGGCACTTGTTTACAACGAGGAAGCTTGGAGACAGGAAGATGGAGACTACCGCAATAAACTTCTGCAGGTATTTTCAAGATACAGCTTGCCAATGAGTTTGCATTTAAATCTTTACATATTTTTCAGGTATAAAACATATTGCCATATATCCACGTCTCATCCTTTAGGATGAGCAGTAAATACAGCTTGCAAATACTTCCTATTTTCTACCCTCCATGGTGCCATCTCCTGAGGCTATCGCCTTATATTTTGTTTCAAAAAGCACAGTTTTTCATAGGTAATTTATTTTCTGGTTCTGAAATCTGTACACAAGACACACCCAGTATCAGTGATTAACAGGCTTGGGGGTGTGACAGTAAAGACCCACTGAGGGGCCCCACAGGCAACTAGCATCACCATTTTGGCTCTCTCTTTGCCCAGTACTTCTGACCATACTAGCCCCCAGCCAAGGAAGAACACACCTTAGCAATTCTTTACTCACTTGTGCAACCTCCTCCTCTCTTTAGAGCATCTCACATCTCACACTAACATACACCAAGCAAATTAAGAAGACAAATTGCTGAAATCATACAAGAGCTTCAAAAAACTGGAGTCAGCCTTGGTACAAGAGCATACACAAGCAAAGTGAGTATCTTTTAATGCAAAACTTTGCCTCCTTCCACAGGGCAACAGTCTAAAAAAACTTATCACACCAGGTTTGGGAAAGATCTGAGCAAAATGGGGAAGTCTGGATAGTGGACAATTAGGAGATGACATTGTGTGAAGGCTAAAAAAACTCATTTAAGTCTACACTGGAGAAAACCTTAGTGTGGAAGCTACTTTTATTTAATGTGAAGGTCAGTATGATGCTCTAACAAATCTAATGGAAGCAAACAGGAGAAAAAGGCAAGAATATTCAGCAAGTGCAAGAAAGCTGGTACTCAATTGAGTATCTGGTACTCTAATGCGAGACAGACCATGAGCACAGGAGTATCTTGTACAAAGGTGCTGTTATTTTAGGAGACTGTTAGCAAATTTCAACACTACTCACTACCAGTATTCCTCTTTCTTAGCCAACCTGTTGCTTAGGCTCAGATTAAAAGTAACAATGGTCCCGGTCACACGGGCCGGAAAATGCAGGGGGGAAGCGTGGCTGTTTGCCCCGGAGCAAAGTAACGCGCAGCAGCCTGATTACATGTCCCGTGGCAGTCCCATGAGTATGACGTTAAGTGCCGATCACATGGCTATCCTGCAGCGCGGCAAAGAAGCGGCGCGGCGCAATCACGCTGGCAATTGCTAGGCGCCGTTTCCGTGGCAAACAAGAATTTTTTTCCCTCAGTGGAGGGGGGTAAGCAGTGGGGTACCACAGGGATCAGTACTTGGTCCACTGCTTTTTAACTTGTTCATTAATGATTTGGAGTTGGGAGTAAGCAGTGAAGTGGCTAAATTTGCAGATGATACGAAGTTGTTCAGGGTGGTGAAAACCAGTGAGGATTGTGAGGCACTCCAAAGGGATCTGTCAAAGATGGGCAAGTGAGCGTCAACATGGCAAATGGGGTTCAATGTGGCCAAGTGCAAGGTGATGCACATTGGAGCCAAAAATCCTAAATATAAATACACGTTGATGGGGTCTGAACTGGCAGAGACTGATCAAGAGAAAGATCTTGGAGTTGTAGTAGGTAACTCACTGAAAATGTCGAGACAGTGTGTGACTGCAATAAAGAAGGCCAATGCTATGCTGGGGATTATTAGGAAGGGTATTGAAAACAGATCAGCCAATATCATAATGCCCCTATATAAATCAATGGTGCGACCTCATTTGGAATACTGTGTGCAATTCTGGTCACCACACCTTAAAAAGGATATTATAGCTTTGGAAAAAGTGAAGAAAAGGGCAACTCAAAGGATAAAAGGGTTGGAACACTTTCCCTATGAGGAAAGGTTAAGGCGCTTAGGGCTCTTTAGCTTGGAGAAACGACGACTGAGGGGTGACATGATTGAGGTTTATAAGATTATGCATGGGAAAGAGCAGGTAGAGAAAGAGGTACTTTTCTCCCTTTCTCACAGTACAAGAACTCGTGGGCACTCCATGAAATTGCTGAGCAGTCGGGTTAGAACGGATAAAAGGAAGTACTTCTTCACCCAAAGAGTGATTAACACTTGGAATTCACTGCCACAGGAAGTGGTGGTGGCTACAAGCATGGACGGCTTCAAAAGGGAATTAGATAAGCATATGGAGCAGAGGTCCATCAGTGGCTATTAGCCACAAGGTATAGATAGGGACTCTGGGGCAAGTGATGCTCTGTCTTCTTGGTGCTTGGGGGGGGTCAACAGTGGGAGGGCTTCTAATGTCCTGGCCCCACTGGTGGACCTCCTGATGGCACTGGTATTTCTGGCCACAGAGTGTTGGACTGGATGGGCCTTTGGCCTGATCCAACATTGGCATCTCTTATGTTCTTATGTTCAGTGTGCGCATGTGCCAGTGGGCGTTTGTGCGCATCCTGTGGAGACTTAAAAAAAAAAATTCGGTTTGCGACAGGACATGGGCGGGCGCCGGATGCCATGGGATTCCAGGGGAAACGCGATCAGATGCTGCCCTTGCCCCGCGTTTTCTGGAAACTAGCACATCGGATGTACTAGTTTTTTCCTCCGTATCTTTGGCAAGAAGCCACAGGTTAGTCATGGGTGCACTACGCTTCCCAGATGTTGCGGTGTGATCGCACCCGGAAAAACTGCCTATCATCCGTATCTTTAGTGCGGCAAATGCTCCGTGTGAACGGGGCCAATAATGTAAAACCATTTAACAATATAAACATTATGAACATACAAACAGAACACAGACATATAGAACGTCCTCACACCTATCTCTACTCAATGAAAGCTTGGTGTAGTGGTTAGGAGAGTGGTCTCTAATATGGGAGAACTGGGTTTCGATTCCCCAATGCTCCACATGCAGCTATTGGTGTGACCTTGGGTGAGTTACAAGTTGCTTCAGAGCTGTTCTCTCATGAGCAGTTCTTGAAAGAGCTCTCTCAACCCCACCTACCTCACAGGGTGTCTGTTGTGGGGAGGGGAAGGGGAAGGAGATTGTAAGCCGCTCTGAGACTCCTTGCAGTAGTGAAGGGCGGGATATAAATCCTATCTCTTCTGGTAAAATTCATGCTGTTTTTGGGAAATGCACCATATTGGATTCCGGAAGACTGTCAAACAGAAGAGCATCTGGAGCAAGAATGCCCTTTTACATCCTGACTTATTTTTCTTTCTTAACATATGTACTAATAAATGAGCGGGAAGGAAGGCAGAATGACCTCATTAGATCTTGGAAGCTAAGTCAGGATAGTACATGGATGGGAGACCCACCAAGGAAGACTCTGCAGAAGAAGGCAATGGGAAACCACCTCTCTTTTTCACTTGTCTTGAAAGCCCCTTGCTGGGGTCGCTGTGAACTGGCTGCAACTTGACAACACTTTACACACACATCATCTGTAAATCTCTGAACCCATGGCACAACACAGAAAAGGCAGTTTCTAAGGCTGACCTTCTCAAACAGTAGGGTGTGCCTCAGGGAGGGGCAGACAAGAAGCTTGAGGAAGCACATTATTTTCTCCTACATCAATTGAGATCTGGATATGGTGGCACAGTTGTCAAAGAAACAAGGTGGCCCTGGAGTGAGTGCATGCCCAATCCAACT